TTTGTGGAAGTGATCATTTTCCCACTGTCATTACAACTGTACATCCCACTGATGTTCCACCGTCCACACGATGGAATTTTTCCAAAGCCAATTGGCCATTATTTCAGACCATATGTACTGACAAATTGAAGCCAAACCTTTTCATGGATGTACCTGATCCAATTCAATCGTTCTCTGACAAACTGAAGAGCATAGCTGATGAAACTATTCCTAAGTCCTCTGTGAACCCACATATTCGGAAACCATGGTTTACTGACGACTGCAAACAAGCTAGGAAGCGTAGGAAGAAGGCAGAGAATTATTTTCGACGCCATCCTACTGTACATAATTTAAACAATTTGAAAATCAATTCTGCCAAGGCTCGACGAACATTTAAACACAATAAACGTCAGTCTTGGAAGAACTATGTTTCTAAAATCAATTCTCGCACGCCTATGTCAAAGGTATGGAATATGATCCAAAAAATCAAAGGCAAAGGTTCCAAACCTAGTATTCGTCATCTAAAAGATGACAATAATTTATTGACTGAAAAATCAGATATTGCAAATAAATTGGGCGAAACTTTAGCTAAACATTCTTCTTCGTCAAATTATAATCCACAGTTTCAGAAATATCAACAACAACAAGAGAAGAAAAACGTTAATTTTAACTCTGACAATGGCGAAGACTATAATGAAGTTTTTTCACTAAATGAACTACACACTGCTTTAGCACAAGCTCATGATACTGCAACTGGTGCTGATGATATTCATTATCAGCTCTTAACACATTTGCCTGAATCTTGTCTCACAACACTACTGAATATTTTTGATGATATTTGGACAACAGGACATTTTCCTCCTTCATGGAGAAATGCTATAGTTGTACCCATACCAAAACCTGGCAGGGACCATACAGACCCATCAAATTATCGACCAATTTCATTAACTAGCTGTGTTTGTAAAACCATGGAGCGCATGGTAAATAATCGATTAGTTTGGTTTTTAGAAACCAATAATCTGATAAGTAACATCCAATGCGGTTTCCGAAAAAACCGAAGTACAATTGACCATTTGATTCGTTTAGAATCATTTATTAAAAATGCTTTTATAAACAAACAGCATGCTGTATCAATCTTTTTCGATCTTGAAAAAGCTTATGATACCACTTGGAAGCATGGTATTTTAAAAGATTTACATGACTTTGGTTTAAGAGGGCGCTTGCCTCACTTTGTATCACAGTTTTTAACTGACAGACAATTTCAAGTTCGTGTTGGATCCACCCTGTCTGATCATTATAATCAGGATCAGGGGGTTCCACAGGGCAGTATTTTGTCTGTCACTTTGTTTAGCATCAAAATAAATAGTTTATCTAAAGTATTAAATGACTCAGTAGATGGGTCATTGTTTGTGGATGATTTTAATATTTCATGTCGTGGTAAAAATATGCATACCATTGAAAGACAGTTACAGTTGTGTCTTAATAAAATTAATAAATGGTGTCTTGAGAATGGATTTAAGTTTTCACAGACCAAAACAAATTGTATTCATTTCTGTCGGAAATATAAACTCCATAAAGATCCAGAACTCTCTTTAGATGGCACTCCAATTAAGGTTGTCAAAGAAGCCAAATTTTTGGGATTAATTTTCGACCACCATTTGACGTTTTTGCCACATATCAAATATTTAAAGACTAAATGCCTGAAGGCCCTCGATCTATTAAAAGTCGTCTCGAACTCTAAGTGGGGAGGGGATCAGACGACCCTCCTTCACCTTTATAGATCATTGATTCGTTCTAAATTAGATTATGGCTCCATTGTCTATGCTGGAGCTTGCAAGAGTAATTTAAAAAAGCTAGATTCAATCCACCACCAAGGACTCAGACTGTGCCTTGGTGCTTTTAGAACTTCTCCTGTTGACAGTCTCTATGTCGAGGCTGATGAACTCTCTTTGAAACAACGCCGTGTTAAATTGTCTCTTCAATATATCACTAAATTACACTCTAATCCTTCTAATCCTGCTTATGACTCCGTTTTTCAACCCCTATATGAAGAGCTGTTTCAGAAAAAAACAAAGCTGATTCCACCACTTGGAATTCGGATGAAATCTCATATTATTGCTGCAAATATAGATCTTGATATTATCTCACCGTATCGTCTCTTGTCTACTCCTCCCTGGCAGCTGGTGAGGCCAGAAGTAGATGTTTCTCTAGCCCGTTTTATTAAATCTGACACCAATCAACTTATATATCAACAGGAATATGTACAATTAAGAAATAAATATGACACCCACCGTTCAATCTTTACTGATGGATCCAAGGATGGTGGCAAGGTGGCATGTGCCACTGTCGTTGGATCAAAACATTTCTCATCTAGAATACCAGACACTAGCTCTATTTTCACTGCTGAGGCCAATGCTCTTCTTACAGCCTTAAAATACATTCAACGACAGTCTGCATATAAACAATTTATCATCTTTTCTGATTCTTTGTCTTGTCTTCAGGCACTGAAAAAAGTCTCTTCTAATCATCCAATTATTTTAAACATTTTAGAACTTTATAATGATCTTTCAACTGGCCAATACGACATCGTCTTTTGTTGGTTGCCCAGTCATGTGGGCATAAAAGGCAACACAATGGCTGATGCTGCAGCTAAAGCAGCACTCAACAAATCTGTGACACCACTTCTTCTTCCCTACAGTGACTATAAACCTGTTATCCGTTCTTACATCAGAAATCTAATGCAGAAGAAGTGGGACACCCAAGTGGGTATAAATAAATTACATGCAATCAAACCAAATATCGGTTATACCTACTTGGGTTGTCAGTCCAGGTTTGAAGAGGTCATTATGCGACGATGTCGTATTGGCCATTCAAGATATACACATGAGTATCTATTGAAAGGTGAGGATCCTCCGTTTTGCATCCCTTGTGATGAAAGAATCACAGTCAAACATGTCCTGCTTGACTGTATTGATTTTGCCATCACAAGGGATAACTATTTCAAATCTACATCTCTAAAGGATCTTTTTAATGGTATCAGTTGGCATTTAATTGTTGGATTTTTAAAAGAAATAGAACTTATTGATAAATTTTGATTGTGTACATAGTTGAATTTTATAATATTGGTAGTGTTTAATGAGTAACAGAGATGGTTAGTGGCTGTATCCTCAAAGGGGGTTGAAGTAGTGTAAAATTATTGTCCCCCTGAGAGGTTATGTAAGACCACGTCCTAAAAGTACGTTTATTCATACCACTGTTTTTAAACGTAGTATATTTGTTTTGTTTTAATTATGGCTTAATTGCGTACCATCGCCAGCTGCTTAAGGGATGGTGTAAATCCTGCTGGGGAGCCATGCAGGTAGCAGAAGTATTGTAAGTCCCCACGGGCCCCAGTTAGGTGGCCTCACTTTGGTTGCTGGCGATCTCTAGCCCGATTTTTATAATGTATTGTTGAATAATAGGTTATTCTTTTAATTGTTCTAAACTAGTTTTACTTATAAACTGTGATATGCTAGTTGTTCTACTGTCCGTCGATGACAGGTGTTTTATTCTCATGTCAGTATATTAAATGTTCTCGTCACGATATGGCTGAAATATTGCCGATGTGACGTAAAGCTTTAACTCACTCACTCACTCACTGTCTTACCTTTATGGCAGGTGCAAGACGTCCCCTGTATCTATGTACAGAGTATCAGTCTTACCTTTATGGCAGGTGCAAGACGTTCCCTGTTTCTATGCACAGAGTATCAGTCTTACCTTTATGGCAGGTGCAAGACGTTCCCTGTTTCTATGCACAGAGTATCTGTCTTACCTTTATGGCAGGTGCAAGACGTCCCCTGTATCTATGCACAGCGTATCTGTCTTACCTTTATGGCAGGTGCAAGACGTTCCCTGTTTCTATGCACATAGTATCAGTCTTACCTTTATGGCAGGTGCAGGACGTCCCCTGTATCTATGCACAGAGTATCAGTCTTACTTTTATGGCAGGTGCAAGACGTTCCCTGTTTCTATGCACATAGTATCAGTCTTACCTTTGTGGCAGGTGCAAGACGTCCCCTGTATCTATGCACAGCGTATCTGTCTTACCTTTATGGCAGGTGCAAGACGTCCCCTGTATCTATGTACAGAGTATCTGTCTTACCTTTATGGCAGGTGCAAGACGTCCCCTGTAGCTATGCACAGAGTATCTGTCTTACCTCTATGGCAGGTGCAAGACGTCCCCTGTATCTATGTACAGAGTATCTGTCTTACCTTTATGGCAGGTGCAAGACGTCCCCTGTATCTATGTACAGAGTATCAGTCTTACCTTTATGGCAGGTGCAAGACGTTCCCTGTTTCTATGCACAGAGTATCAGTCTTACCTTTATGGCAGGTGCAAGACGTTCCCTGTTTCTATGCACAGAGTATCTGTCTTACCTTTATGGCAGGTGCAAGACGTCCCCTGTATCTATGCACAGAGTATCTGTCTTACCTTTATGGCAGGTGCAAGACGTTCCCTGTTTCTATGCACAGAGTATCTGTCTTACCTTTATGGCAGGTGCAAGACGTCCCCTGTATCTATGTACAGAGTATCAGTCTTACCTTTATGACAGGTGCAAGACGTCCCCTGTTTCTATGCACAGCGTATCAGTCTTACCTTTATGGCACGTGCAAGACGTCCCCTGTATCTATGTACAGAGTATCAGTCTTACCTTTATGGCAGGTGCAAGACGTCTCCTGTATCCATGTACAGAGTATCTGTCTTACCTTTATGGCAGGTGCAAGACGTCCCCTGTATCTATGTACAGAGTATCTGTCTTACCTTTATGGCAGGTGCAAGACGTCCCCTGTTTCTATGCACATAGTATCTATCTTACCTTTATGGCAGGTGCAAGACGTCCCCTGTTTCTATGCACATAGTATCTATCTTACCTTTATGGCAGGTGCAAGACGTCCCCTGTTTCTATGCACATAGTATCTATCTTACCTTTATGGCAGGTGCAAGACGTCCCCTGTTTCTATGCACATAGTATCTATCTTACCTTTATGGCAGGTGCAGGACGTCCCCTGTTTCAGGGAGGAGACTGCAGTGACCAGACAGAGTAACAGTACAACGGCGACCATCTTGCAGGGAGTTGTGTGATAACATGGCCGCCGGTGGCTTCATATACACTGCTTTATCTATACTGCCTGTGAACCTGTTGCATGTTTGATGATAGCTGACTCTACAGCACATACAATGTCAAACACGCTCACGGTGACAAGTTTGTAACACGTTTGTTTTGAAGGTGTTGCACACTGTGTCGGTTCTATAGATTGCATCCTGCTGCAAATATCATGTCCCGATCTGCTGATTGCTTTTGACAAGTCCTTGTTAGAACGTGTATGTTATCTGCGTTTGGAATCAGATATACCTGATGATATTCTATCACTGGATTCAAAATGGAATAAACACATCCGGCACCAGAAACTGAGAGGAGGACGAATACAGTCTATCAATTTTGTTCAAGCAGTGAAATTGTCTTAAATATCCCCAGATATTTAGTCGCCATAGTTTTACCGAGACAAGTCAGTCATTATTCCCCGTCCAAAACAAAAGGGAAAACAGAAAGGGCTCCGTCTATTCTACCGTATGTGCTCCAGTAACGAAACATAAGTAAGAAAAGACGGATCCCTTTCTGTTTCCCTTTTTCTTCGGGGCGGGGAAAAATGACTGACTTGTCTCAGTAAAACTGTAGTGACTAGATATCTAGGGACACCAGATATAGCAGCAGTGCCACCGAGCACCTCTCCTGTTAGTTGAGATAGAATATTTAACATGATGTTGTTCAGGGCTGTACCCATGATCAGCAACGTGTCACGAGCGAGGTGTAAACAGAGTACATAAATACATTTTAACAATGCAAACAATCCAACATGTTCGGTGAGAGGTGATATGATTTGACTAAACATCGCTCGCACGTTTTCTCCCTGACACGTTGGTTGAGACCTTTCTTGATTTTTGGAATTATCCGTAAGATGTTGAAAAAAAATGAAGTTGCCTGCCACAAAAATTACATTGTTCCAAATTGTTTTTCTTTAGAATAATCATGCTCAGAGTTGTAAATAAAGAGATGTAGCTGATAAGCTGATAAGCTGATAAGCTATCTAATCCCAATACAAAGTCCCTCCCCCTCCCCCTGATCGTATTCCCACTGCGTGGATCGATGCTCATGATGTCAATCACTGGATTTTCTGGTCCAGACTTGATTATTTACAGACCGCCATCATACAGCTGGAATACTGCTGAGTGCGGCGTTAAACAATGAACAAACAAACGAACCTCCCTGATCGAAAAATCAGCTCCACAGTCTCATTAGCAAAAACGTAAAACCACACAGTTGTAACGGTTCAACAAGTCGAGTTGTTGATGATGATGCTCGCGGATCACATGTGGTGTTTCATTGTCAGCAAGCAGCACATGTTACAATGCATTGTAGATGGGTTGATAGGGTTTTCAACACGACAGGTATACCTGATTTTATCACCAAAGTCAGCTGGTAGGGTTTAGTTCGCGCGTTCACGATTGTCAAGCTCGGTGTTTCACACAGTTTAACAAGCACTGAACTCATCCAATCTGACGTTTAATTTTTCAATGAACACATCCATGAATTTGGTTCAACAGTTAGGGACATGATTATTGTAAATTAAAGTAATGATCAGAACATTAAGAACCAAATGTTTGATCGCCCGTAATTTATCCAGTAAGTTTTTAGCGCTGTGTGAGAGAAAGATGTTGTGTATTATCTAATAAGCGTCTAGCGCTGTGTGTATAGAAGATGTTGTTTATCATCTAATAAGCGTCTAGCGCTGTGTGTATAGAAGATGTTGTATATTATCTAATAAGCGTCCAGCTCTGTGTGTATGGAAGATGTTGTATATTATCTAATAAGCGTCTAGCGCTGTGTGTATGGTGGATGTTGTATATTATCTAATAAACATCTACCGCTGTGTGTATGGAAGATGTTGTATATTATCTAATAAGCGTCTAGCTCTGTGTGTATGGAAGATGTTGTATATTATCTAATAAGCGTCTAGCGCTGTGTGTATGGTGGATGTTGTATATTATCTAATAAACATCTACCGCTGTGTGTATGGAAGATGTTGTATATTATCTAATAAGCGTCTAGCGCTGTGTGTATGGAAGATGTTGTATATTATCTAATAAGCGTCCAGCGCTGTGTGTATGGAAGATGGTGTATATTATCTAATAAGCGTCCAGCGCTGTGTGTATGGAAGTTGTTGTATATTATCTAATAAGCATCTAGCGCTGTGTGTATGGAAGATGTTGTATATTATCTAATAAGCGTCTAGCGCTGTGTGTATGGAAGATGTTGTATATTATCTAATAAGCGTCTAGCGCTCTGTGTATGGTGGATGTTGTATATTATCTAATAAGCGTCTAGCGCTGTGTGTATAGAAGATGTTGTATATTATCTAATAAGCGTCTAGCGCTGTGTGTATGGACGATGTTATATGTAATCTAATAAGTGTCTAGCGCTTTGTGTATGGAAGATGTTGTATATTATCTAATAAACGTCCAGTGCTGTGTGTATGGACAATGATGTATATTTTCTAATAAGCGCTCAGTGCTGTGTGTATGGATGATGTTGTATATTATCTAATAAGCGTCTAGCGCTGTGTGTATGGTGGATGCTGTATATTATCTAATAAGCATCTAGCGCTGTGTGTAAGGAAGATGTTGTAAATTATCTTATAAGCGTCTAGCGCTGTGTGTATAGAAGATGCTGTATACTATCTAATAAGCGTCTAGCGCTGTGTGTATGGTGGATGTTGTATATTATCTAATAAGCGTCTAGCGCTATGTGTATGGAAGATGTTGTATATTATCTAATAAGCGTCTAGCGCTGTGTGTATAGAAGATACTGTATATTATCTAATAAGCGTCTAGCGCTGTGTGTATGGAAGATGTTGTATATTATCTAATAAGCGTCTAGTGCTGTGTGTATAGAAGATGCTGTACATTATCTAATAAGCGTCTAGCGCTGTGTGTATGGAAGATGTTGTATATTATCTAATAAACGTCTAGCACTGTGTGTATAGAAGATGTTGTATATTATCTAATAAGCGTCTAGCACTGTGTGTATGGAAGATGTTGTATATTATCTAATAAGCGTCTAGTGCTGTGTGTATGGAAGATGTTGTATATTATCTAATAAGCGTCCAGCGCTGTGTGTATGGAAAATGTTGTATATTATCTAATAAACGTCTAGCGCTGTGTGTATGGAAGATGCTGTACATTATCTAATAAGCGTCTAGCGCTGTGTGTATGGAAGATGTTGTATATTATTTAATAAGCGTCTAGCACTGTGTGTATAGAAGATGTTGTATATTATCTAATAAGCGTCTAGCGCTGTGTGTATGGAAGATGTTGTATATTATCTAATAAGCGTCTAGCGCTGTGTGTATGGAAGATGTTGTATATTATCTAATAAACGTTTAGTGCTGTGTGTATGGAAGATGTTGTATATTATCTAATAAGCATCTAGCGCTGTGTGTATAGAAGATGTTGTAAATTATCTAATAAGCGTCCAGCGCTGTGTGTATGGAAGATGTTGTATATTATCTAATAAGCGTCTAGCGCTGTGTGTATAGAAGATGTTGTATATTTTCTAATAAGCGTTCAGCGCTGTGTGTATGGAAGATGTTGTAAATTACCTTATAAACGTCTAGCGCTGTGTGTATGGAAGATGTTGTATATTATCTAATAAGCGTCTAGCGCTGTGTGTATGGAAGATGGTGTATATTATCTAATAAGCGTCCAGCGCTGTGTGTATGGAAGATGTTGTATAGTATCTAATAAGCGTCCAGCGCTGTGTGTATGGAAGATGTTGTATATTATCTAATAAGCGTCTAGCGCTGTGTGTATGGAAGATGTTGTATATTATCTAATAAGCGTCCAGCGCTGTGTGTATGGTGGATGTTGTATATTATCTAATAAGCGTCTAGCGCTGTGTGTATGGACGATGTTATATGTTATCTAATGAGTGTCTAGCGCTTTGTGTATGGAAGATGTTGTATATTATCTAATAAACGTCCAGTGCTGTGTGTATGGACAATGATGTATATTTTCTAATAAGCGCTCAGTGCTGTGTGTATGGAAGATGTTGTATATTATCTAATAAGCGTCTAGCCCTATGTCTATGGTGGATGCTGTATATTATCTAATAATAATCTAGCGCTGTGTGTAAGGAAGATGTTGTAAATTATCTTATAAGCGTCTAGCGCTGTGTGTATAGAAGATGCTGTATACTATCTAATAAGAGTCTAGCGCTGTGTGTATGGTGGATGTTGTATATTATCTAATAAGCGTCTAGCGCTATGTGTATGGAAGATGTTGTATATTATCTAATAAGCGTCTAGCGCTATGTGTATGGAAGATGTTGTATATTATCTAATAAGCGTCTAGCGCTATGTGTATGGAAGATGTTGTATATTATCTAATAAGCGTCTAGTGCTGTGTGTATAGAAGATGCTGTACATTATCTAATAAGCGTCTAGCGCTGTGTGTATGGAAGATGTTGTATATTATCTAATAAGTGTCTAGCACTGTGTGTATAGAAGATGTTGTATATTATCTAATAAGCGTCTAGCGCTGTGTGTATGGAAGATGTTGTATATTATCTAATAAGCGTCTAGTGCTGTGTGTATGGAAGATGTTGTATATTATCTAATAAGCGTCCAGCGCTGTGTGTATGGAAAATGTTGTATATTATCTAATAAACGTCTAGCGCTGTGTGTATAGAAGATGCTGTATATTATCTAATAAGCGTCTAGCGCTGTGTGTATGGTGGATGTTGTATATTATCTAATTAGCATCTAGCGCTGTGTGTATGGAAGATGTTGTATATTATCTAATAAGCGTCTAGCGCTGTGTGTATGGAAGATGTTGTATATTATCTAATAAGCGTCTAGCGCTGTGTGTATAGAAGATGTTGTATATTTTCTAATAAGCGTTCAGCGCTGTGTGTATGGAAGATGTTGTAAATTATCTAATAAGCGTCTAGCGCTGTGTGTATGGTGGATGTTGTATATTATCTAATAAGCGTCTAGCACTGTGTGTATGGAAGATGTTGTATATTATCTAATAAGCGTCTAGCGCTGTGTGTATAGAAGATGCTGTATATTATCTAATAAGCG